ACTCAGTTTGGGTGTTGCTTGTTTCGTTACGGCAGAGATCCGAGAGCCAGCAGACGGCATAGTACATGTTACAGATGCACTGCAGCATAACCATGCAGAGTCGCGCGAAGCTTCAGCATATCGTGGCCCGCATACTTGTATCTTCTGCTGCAACCCCGTCGTCAGTGCATGAGGCCTCAATGAACCCGCAAAACGCTCCACGATGGCCCAGGAGGCTCCCAAGAGACTCCTACGCTGCGTTCATTCAGCATCTCTTTAGCTATCCTCTTCGGCCTCGTCCTGCTCCTCCCCTTCTCCCCTCCCCGCTGCTCTACTCCACTATTTGCTTCCATCTCCAGCTGCCACCCGCTCAATTTTCCTTCCCTCCTTTCCTTCATCCCTTGTCTTCGCTGCCTCCTGACGGCTGCTGCAGCTCCTTGCTGGTTGCTGGTGCGGCTCGCTGCTGCTGATTGCTGCCTGCTGCTTCTAATAGTCGCCGCCGCTTGCCCGTGGAACGAAGGCACGCGGCTATGACTTCGGTGGCTGCGTGATGGTGAACCACAGGTTCATTTGCCTCGTTTGTATGCTATGCTACGCTATGCTATGCTATGCTATGCTATGCTACGCCATGCTACGGGTGGTACGAGGCAACTTGGGGGCAACAACAGTCGTGGGAGAGCAGCGAGGGGAGGACGAAGAAGGACGGGTAGGATAGGGAGCGCGAGAGGTGATGGGGTGGGCGGGTGGAGATAAGGGTGCCGCGGAGGAGTAGGACCCGTGCATCCCGCGTTTTGGAACTCGGGACGACTGGTTGTGGACGCCTGGAATCCATCTTTGGGCCAGGCGGCTAGAGAGCATACGCTCAGGATGAGCAGCTGACTCTGGGGAAGGGGGGTCGATGCGTCCAGGAGCCCATGTCCCGAGCAAGTCTATTCTGGCCGCCAGGTGTCTGGGGCGACGGCGACGAGGCGGAGGAGGATTCGAGGAAATGAGGAGGATACGGAGGACCAGGAGGAGGAGGAGGAGGAGGAGGAGGAGGGAGGAGGAGGAGGAGGAGGAGGAGGAGGAGGAGGGAGGAGGAGGAGGAGGGAGGAGGAGGGGGAGGAGGAGGAGGAGGAGGAGGATGATGATGATGAGGAGGAGGAGGAGGTGGAGGTGGAGGAGGAGGAGGAGGAGGACGAGGAGGACGAGGAGGACGAGGAGGACGAGGAAGACGGGGAGGAGGAGGAGGACGAGGAGGAGGACGAGGAGGACGAGGAGGACGAGGAGGAGCAGGAAGAGGAAGAGGACGATGAGGAGGAGGAGGAGGAGGAAAAGGAGGAGGAGGCGGAGAAGGAGGAGGAGGAGGAGGAGGAGGAGGGGGAGGAGGAGGAGGAGGAGGAGGAGGAGGAGGAGGTGGAGGGGGGCAGAGTGGACATGGAGGATCTGGAGGACATGTAGGTTCAGGGGGATATGGAGGACATGGAGGAACGGAGTGGGCTGATGACGGCATGAACGACAAGTGAGCGGAATCAGCAGTGCTTCTTTTCCACTGCGGGCCCGCCAGGACTCCTGACCGCTCGCCTGGGGCCATGCCTTCTCGTCCCGAGTTGTTTGTTTGTTTACCAGCCCGGGGCCTGGAGAGGAGCGCCTTGAGGCCGCGATGGAGCAAAAAGCGCCGGGCTGGAACAATCGGGATGGAGCCAAAATTCCAAGACTGGCCTGCTCAGTGCTGTTTTTTCACGTTCAGCTTTTTTTTGATAGTCCTGGGGAGGAGCAGGGGCAGGAGAAGGAGGAGGACCAGTGGAAACCCAAGAGTCATCAACGATGTTGGAATAAACCCTCTCTCCAAGCTCCCTCTTCATAGGCTCCCACAACAGTTCATTTCCATTGAGGGAACTGCCTAGTTTGAAGACAAGCGTTTGAAGACCCTGAAGCATGCCACAACATTTTTCTCGGGTTTTCAACGCCACGGATCGACCTGTTTGTTGCGTCTTGACAGCTTGAATCGTGCCAAAACACCATTCTTGAGACTTCAACACATCGAATCAGCGCAACTGTTGCACCACCCTCATAAGTCTGAACCCTTCCACAAGACCATGTCTGGTACGCTGATCGTGGGATTCCTTGAAACTTGGCAACTTTGTAGGCGAACGTGCGCGGTACTAGGGCGAGAGCCACATTTTGACAGCCACCCGCCCAGACGAGTGTGCGCGGCGCTACGGCGAGAGCCACATTAAAACAACGACCCGCCCTCAAACCGTGAAACTCTTGCAATTTGTTTTCAAACATGTGCGCGGCGCTCAGGTGAGAACCACATTTTGAAAAACACCCGCCATGAATCCGTGAAGCTCTTGCGTCTTTTTTCAAACATGTGCACGGCATTCAGGCGAGAGGTACATTTTGAAAGCCACGCGCCCTCCATGTGTGAAACTGTTATTGTTTTTTCAGCTTCAGGGTCACAAATGGTGAGGAAGTCTCAGGTGAAACGCCCAGCCCGCCTTAAAACTGGCCTCGGGGTGCGACTGGGAGAAATTATTTGGAAGGAAAAGGAATGGAGTAGGAGGCTGATGATGATGATGATGAGGAGGAGGAGGCGGGGTAGGATGATGAGGAGGATGATGAGGAGGAGGAGGTGGATGATGATGATGATGAGGAGGAGGAGGAGGAGGAGGAGGAAGAGGAACAGGAGGGAAAAGAGGAAGGAGTGAAAAGGAAGGGGAAGCGGCCTGAGAGGGGACCAAGAGGGGGATGATGATGAGGAGGAGGATGATGATGATACGGAGGAGGAGGAGCAGGAGGAGGAGGATGAGGAGGAGGAAGAGGAGGAGGAGGAGGAGGAAATGGAGGAGAAGCACTAATACTACTAATCGTCGTAAGAAGAAGAGCATGGTGAGGAGGAGGAGGAGAAGAAGGAGGAGGAGGAGGCCGGGGAGGAGGGAGGGAGGGATGAGGAAGGAAAGAGGAAGGGGGGAGGGTGGGAAGAGAGGAGGTGATGCTGATGCTGCTGATGATGATGATGATGATGGTTATGCCGATGACGGTGATGCTGCTGATGACGATGACGATTACGACGATGATGATGCTGATGATGATGATGATGATGCTACTGACGATGATGATGCTACTGATGATGATGCTGATTCCGCTGATGATGCTGATGGTGGTCATGCTGATGATGATGCTGATGGTGATGGTGGTGGTGGGGGAGGGGCGATGCTGATGCTACTGATGATGATGCTGATGCTGCTGCTGCTGATGATGATGCTGACTCTGATGATGATGCTGACGCTGCTGATGATGATGAGGATAATGATGCTGCTGATGCTGATGCTGATGGCGCTGCTGCTGATGCTGATGATGACGATGCTGATGCTACTGATGATGCTGATGCTGATGCTGATGCTGATGCTGATGCTGATGCTGATGCTGCTGATGATGTTGATGATGCTGATGATGATGCTGATGCTGATGCTGATGATGATGCTGATGCAGCTGCTGATGCTGCTGATTCTGCTGATGCTGATGATGCTGATGATGCTGCTGCTGCTCATGATGATGCCGATGATGATGCTGATGATGCTGGTGATTATGATGCTGATGCTGTTGATGATGATGATGCTGATGATGATGATGACGATGATGATGATGATGATGATGATGATGCTGCTGATGATGATGATGATGATGATGATGATGATGATGCTGCTGCTGCTGATGATGGTGCCGCTGATGAGGATGATGATGCTGACGAGGAGGAGGAGGAGGATGAGGAGGAGGAGGACGGGGATGAGGAGGAGGACGAGGAGGAGGAGGATGAGGAGGAAGATGACGATGAGGATGAATAGCAGGAGGAGGAGGAGGAGGAGGAGGATGAGGAGGAGGAGGAGGAGGTAGGAGGTAGGATGAAGCATGGGACGCAGATGGGGTTGCAGCGGAGCAGGGGTAAGAACGGGCGAGAGTACGAGCAAGAGGCGTTGGAAGGGGGGCGATGGGGAGAAAGAGGAGAACGAGCAGGAGGATGATGATGAGGAGGAGGAGGACGGGACACAGGAGGAGGAAATTCATTAGATGGAGGGGGCGGAAGAAAAGAAGGAGGGTAGTAATGATGGCGTGGGGATATGGTGGTGGCGATGCTGAATGTGGTGACTGTGATGATGCTGCTGCTGATGCTGATGATGCTGCTGCTGATGATGATGATGATGAGGATGATGATGATGCTGAAATAATCATAGCGGTGATGCTGATGGTGATGGTGATATTTCTTATGCTGATGCTGTTGATTGTGATGATGATGTGGATGCTGATGATGATGCTGATGATGATACCGTTGATGCTGTTGATGATGATGATGGTGCTGCGGTTGATAATGCTGTTGATGCTGATTAGGATGATGAGGTTGATGATGCTGCTGGTGAGAGAATTTACGGGTGAGATTGTGCTGATGCAGATCATGATGTTGACGACGATGACGATGACGACGATGCTAATAATAACCACACTGATCATATTGATGATGATGATGATGATGATGATGATGATGATGATGATGATAATAATTCGGATGCTGATGATGCTGCTGCTGATGATGATGATGATGATGATGATAATGAGGATGCTGATGATGACGATGATGCTGCTGCTGCCGATGCTGATGAGGCTGTCGCTGATGATGATGCTGCTGATGATGGTGCTGCTGATGAGGATGATGATGATGATGCTGATGCTGATGCTGATGCTGATAATGATGATGTTGCTGCTGCTGCTGATGACCATGATGATGCGGATGCTGACGAGGATGATGAGGCTGATGATGCTGCTGCTGATGATGATGACGATGATGCTGATGCTGATGCTGATGATGATGACGATGATGATGCTGCTGCTGATGAGGATGATGGTGATTCTGATGATGATGATGATGATGGTGGTGATGATGATGATGATGATGATGATCATGGTGGTGGTGGTGGTGGTGATGGTGATGATGATGATGATGATGCTGATGATGATGATGATGATGATAATGGTGATGGTGATGG